CGGGGAATGGTAAACTCGATTATCTGTGAGCACAGGTGAGGCATTTTGGGAGTCTGTGGAGCTGGAAGTGGTCGTAGACAGGAGAGAGGAGTGCGAGTGAACATATTTCCTACTAGCTGCATCTTCCAACGAGCTCAGTTCCGAACGACTCAGACGAATGGAGGATGAAAAGCTGTGCTCCTCATGTGACTCCACGTGTTCCGTGAAACTGAAACGAGGTGGATAAGAAGAAATACCAAACTGGCTGTATTGAAATCAATCACACGGGCTAATGAAAACCAAGTCAAAATGAACGAACTGAGCAGTATAACATCTGATTGGACTTTCCTTCCACGAGGTGTTGCGTTGTTCTGGGTGCCACATTGGGAATGAAATAATTTGTGTTCGGAGCAATGATAAACAGTCCCCGGACAATCATTTAAAGTTTGTCATCTATGATTTTCGTAGTATTAAATTTACTGAGAATCGAATCCAAGTATAGAAAGACAGATTGCCAGTGATCTAAACAGTTAGCTTGGAAAATAAACGATAATTCAGGAACGTTTGTTGCTCTGCCAGAAAGCGCCGGGCTAGTAGTACCAGACTCGAGAACCATGCCTCTTATCAAGGTCAGCAAGAGGAGCACTTTTCTCTATCTGCATCACTGTATTCATTGAATATAATAGCAATTGGTTCCACTGGCTTCCCGAGCTACAACAGTCCGGTTCCTCTAAATCTTTGATAATCGTCGTCACTGAAACCTATGAAAATGGTTACGAAATGACGTTTGCTTACTTAGTCTGCAAGCGCGATGTGGACTGGGCATTGATGTTAGTTCATTACTTTCAATGCTAGAACTTTCGATTTCAATTCATGATTGCCTGTAACTTTAGGGACGGCGTCTGTCTATCATGCGATAAAAAGCTATTGAAGTAACAAGATTGCCCAACTTTGGGGGGGGGGCACAGTTCAGTGAACTAAGTTGGACATTTCCAAATCCGTGGTGAAACGCGTCGAAGCCCTGCTTCCATGCGAATGAAGTTCCCCTGTTAAATATGTCGAAACATTAATTAGCCTTTGTGCCTCAAAAAGTCCTCATTGTACTTTTCAAGATACCGTCTACGTAGTACAGGGGTTATCTTGGCTTCGTGCAGCTAAGTCTTAAATTGAGAAATGGGCTACAGAAATTTGACTTTGAAAAATGGATTCACTGCTGACCGTTAGTTTCCCAAACGTGTGATCTTTGATGCTTGTCAGGAGACGAGCATTCCCATTTTCTATGCCAATCTTGGGCTAATTATCTACATAACTGTTTATGGATTGCCAAGTGAACTGCTGCACACATTTCTAGGATAGTGAAAGCCCAATGTAAAGTGAACCAGGGAAATTTGAGATCTCCGTACACGATAGCAAGATTATCGCCATAAAATTGTGTTTGTAGATGTACCGTAAACTGGTTGAGTTGTTGTCCCGCGGATGAGTCCCGACTTTAGGAACCTGTCGGAAGAAAGTTAACGAATATTTGATCCGAAGTAAAATTCACAGGAAGTGATTTAGTGAATAACTTAGACTGGATGAATAAACGTAGTTTTGGATTGGTTGTTTTATTAAAGAATCTTCTTTCCGTTGCAGGTGAACACACAATTAATTGGCCCGGAAAATGCAACAAAACGAGGAGAGAAGAATGAAAATTTGTGTTGCTATTATTCGTGGTTTGATTCACACACTCCGGATTGCCAACGCACCTTTCACGAGCCGAGGCTCCCGTAGATCCTACAAGGGTGGAAAAAAAATAAAAAAATGGAGTATTTGTTGAGAAAAGGTTAAATAAATAATGCGGTGTTTTGGTCTGACAAATGTGGATGATGAGTGAGTGTATACGAGACTTCTGTGAAGTTCAAATGCACGAAGAGGGCTCACAAAGTGCTCAGCTCACTGCATTAGTAGTCCTCGGATTTGAAGAGACGCAATTTATTTATTATAGATAAAACTCACAAGAACGGAAGTAGTGAGAGGAACTGATTAGTATGCCTTTCAGACAGGTATACTTGTGTCATATCATTTCATGATGTTCAACTGCATAAGGAGCTAGAATTCCGGTCATCAGACATCCCTTCAACCACTGACAACGTAATTCTATTCATTTAAATTTTAAATATTCCCATGACAGCATCGGAAAAAACGAGTTGGTGTTGTTTTTCCGATGTTTCTAGTCATGCTCTTACACATTATGTAGTGGAAAAATGTTTACAAAATGATAACCATTGACTCAATTTAAGTTCATTATTCAGAGGCAGAGAGAAGAGGATGTGTATGTGTGCCTGTGTGTTAGTGTGTTTATAGAATGTTTAGCTTGTTATTTGATGTGACCTTTCCCCACTAGGGTCAAGTGACACGGCTTGTTCTATCTTGGTTTTCACAACCAGCCTAGGCAATTGAAATGCTTCGACCAGTCTTCTTGGGCACACATTTTGGGGCCTAGTAAGCGAAAAGCGATCGCCTTAGCCATGGCTAGTGCCTAAACTCGGGTCACTCTCGATCGGTTGAGTGGGATGTAATAAATGACATCGAAAGCTTTCTCCAGTTCGTGCCCGGTGTCGACGAGATGACCGACGGTCGCGCTTAAGATACACCACGTTTTATCCTGGGTTAACCATCGGTGGTGGTGCTTCTAAATGCTTTGAGACAAACGCCTTACCATACGATCTATGTATCTTGTGCCGCAGAAGCATTTAAAAGAGTAAATTATCACGGATGAAGTCAGTTTCGGCAGTTTGTGTTTAACTTACATTTGCATCACCGGTGATGTAGAGGGTACTGGTCTACATTTGGCTGCATTGAAACTGCAATTTACAGCCGCTCTCAGTGACGATACTAGGCTATCTGTGTTTGAATCCCCCCTAAATGAGATCCTTATGATTAGTTCTTTCTTGGGGCACATATGGAGTTTTCCTTCTCAGGAGTGAGCCAAATATTCTTATCGATGAACTTTTCCAGATAACCATTGTCCTGTGGTGTTTGGCGGATGAAGCCTAATTCTTCACCCAGTGTCTCTGCTGAACGAAAACCTCCGGGGTCTGAAGGCTAAAGACCGGACTAGATTACTTTTGTACAAAATAGTAGAAGGACTATTACATGTTTTCTTTCTGTGAATCTGCTCTCTCGATGATCCAACATCTTTCCTGTCCACGACTGCATCCAGAAAGGTCAATATATTGTTCGTTTCAAGCGCTACAGTGAATTCCATTGATGGATGTGCTTTGTTAAACGATTCCAGTGCTTGTGGAATGCTGTTTTCGCAATCAGTCACACAGAAGATATCATCGAACTAGATTTACGCTTGGTAAACACCTACTTCCATTTTTACCCAAAGATGGAAACCGTTTAAAATACGAGTCTTGATCATTTAATTATTACCGAGTAATACAATAGGCATTCAAATAATGTAGATAAATAATTTCTATTTCTATCATGCATCTGTACCAGTCAGATATTTTCAGAACTGTTTGGTACATTATGGTGTAACACACATTTTGTGATAGTTTTGGAGTTCAAATGAACTAAAAGTAGAAAGGTAAAAATGAACCAAAACTAAATAGAATTTTCGAGGTCGGGTGTCGTCTACAGTGATAGTAGGACAGTATCGTGGGCCACACAACAAAATGTGTAGGTAATATGGCATTTTAAGCCATAATCAAAGAACGACGGCCCAAAACTTCAGGCCGCTGAATAAACCTGATAGCTAATCTTGAAAATGGAATCGGGGTCAGAATGATCACTAAAGTTTGTTATTACAAATCTCCTTTCAATACCTGATTCGACTAAATTTATCACTGATCAATTTTTTATTCTCGTTCTTCTATTGTATTGTATTGTATATAAGTTTTGCAAGCACTGGAGCTCACATTTTAGTTACAAAATCATACACGCTAACCGTCACATAATATATATAATCCACGAGGCGAAAAGGTTTTACAGGCATGGGGACATTTCATAATCCAAGGTTAAGACAAAGTTCACTTATTGACCGCATTTTGTTTATTAGTAGACTAGCAAGATACAGTATAGGTGAATTGCGCTAAGTGTTTATTCGAAATAAAATCTGGCGGAATTGGGAGTGTTGAATAATGGGAGCGACGTGTCAGTTCTGCGTGCAATGGGTAGTCAGGATCTGTGAGAATCCTCTTAGCAAATTTCACACAGGAAGTTACATGATACTCTGAAACTTTTACAGGTAATTCATTCACAAGAACAGAGGAAACACGACTAAATATGGTTAGACCGTGGCGTAAGACTTTAAAATCCTGTTTGAGTAATCCAGGAAAAATGACTGGGGAACAGTTGAGGAAAACACACTGATAAATACAGGTAGAAATAACTGACTGGGATGCAGGAAACTGTCTGAGCTTTTGCAT